GTGTGTGTGTGTGTGTGTGTGTGTGTGTGTGTGTGTGTGTGTGTTGAGACAGAGTTTCTCCGTGTAGCCCTGGCTGACCTGGAAATGACACCATTTCTTTAACAACAACATCAACAAAAATATGCAGCATGATGCAAAGGAATGGGCTGTCATTCCTGTCTTTGCACAGGGTCCCAGAGCCTCAGAGTCATATGTGCCGTATCTGCAGAAACAAGGGTGCTATTTACTGGGGCACCCACACTCTGGCCCCATGCTTGGTCCTGGGAAAATTATGGGACATGTGAACTGAATTTATGTGGGGCCTCCATAATTCAAATATTAACAACAATGCAAAAAAGAATTGCAGTTTCGAAGGCTGGAGGGCTGACTGGTTATGAGCCCTGGCTGCTCCAGAGGACCCTTGATGGATTCTCAGCAACCAGATGGCGGCTCACATTCACCAGTAACTGCAGTCCCAGGGTTTCTGACGCCCTCTTCTGGTGTCTAAGGGCACTACATGCAAAGTGGTGCCCAATCGTATGTGCATATGCATAAAATACACCCACACACACACACAAAAAAGAATTCCAGCTGCTCTGACTGACTGGATGGTCATCTCTTCACAGCCCACAGCCACACTTGTATTGGTCCCTCTAACACTCCATTCCACGGTGCGGCCAACACCAGCGCATTCCAAAACCTAAGTCTCCCTACAACTCCTTACTAAGTGGGTCGGAGAATGCCCCTCAGATTTTCTTTTTTCTTTCTTTCTTGTTTTTTGCTTTTTGAGACAGGTTTGTCTGTGTAGCCCTGACTGTCCTGGAACTCTCTTTGTAGACCAGGCTGGCCTTGAACTCAGAGATCCTCCTGCCTCTGCCTCCTGAGTGATGGGATTAAAGGGGTGTGCCACCAGAACCAGGCTAGGTTTTCTTATTTTCCTTTTTTCTTCCCCCACATTCCAGGACAAAGTTACTTTCCCCTGCCTGCCTTGTCCAAACTCTGACCTCCTTCTTCCTGCTTCTGTATTACAAAAGCCCTGAAGAGCAAGCCAAGCCAAGAGTTCCTACAACAGATGAGGGAGAAAAGCACCTTGGTAGGGAGAGAAGCATGCGGCCTGGGAGCATCAGAGACAGGTTTTGTTGTTCTGTTACAGACAGGGTCTCTCTGTGTAACCCTCATTGTCCTGGATCTCTCTACAAAGCCCAGACTGGCCTCAAATTCAGAGACCCACCCGCCTCCTGCGATTCACGTGCCACCACACCTGGCCTTTGGTGGTTATTTTTTGAGGGTCTTGCTCTGTAGCCTTGGCCAGCCTCAGATTTGCTCCAAAGCCCAGGCTGGCCTTGAACCTGAGATCATTCTGCCTCCATTTCCAGAGTGCTAGAATTACAGGTATGCACCACTACACCTGGCCGATTTGTACCCAGTGACGGGCAACTCAGGTACCTGTCCTCAAAGTAAGATGGGACCATGACAGGACAACAGAGGACACTAGATAATGGGGAGACATGTATGCAGTAGGTGGTGCGGGATGTGTGTGTGTGTGTGTGTGTGTGTGTGTGTGTGTGTGTGTGTGTGGTGGGGGGGGGAGGGGGTGCGCGCGCGCGTGTGCGTGCGCGAGCGCTGTCCTCAGACCTGATGGAGAATGAGGAAACAGATCTGGGTCTGGAATGTAGCCAGGTAGGTTTAGGGAAGCACAGAGCACTGGGTGAGAGGCAGGAAGCACTAGGCAGCAAAGACAGGCGCTATCGCAGGTCCCCATAGGGTTGGACCTCAAAGACCAGCTACCTAGTTCAAATATTTCCTGATGCCACACTTCCTGGCAAGCAGTGTTCCAGGACCACCTTGAACAGCTCCAGCAACAGGGAGCTTATGGCCTCTAAAGCACCCTCTCCACTTGGTGTAGCTGCTTCTCCCTCCTCTGAGCTGAACTCCCAGCTCCCAGTGATCCCCCGGGACCGAACTTCACACTTGGAGCTCTCTACCCCGTGAGTCATACAGTGCAAGTCTTTTATAGCCTTCCACATATTTGAACTTTAGCAATAACCATCCCCTCTCCCCCAACCCCCTTTGAAACAAAATCTCATGTACCCCAGGCTAGCAGCAAACTCAGTATGCAGCTAAAGATAACAAGATGAGCTTCAAGTGTGTGAGTGAGTGTGAGTGTGTGTGTGTGTGTGAGTGTGTGTGTGTGTGTGTGTGTGTGTGTGTATGGGAGTCTACCTTTTTAAAATGTTCATTTATTCTTGTGGTTTTTCAAGACAGGGTTTCTTTATGTAGCCCTGGCTGTCCTGGAACTCGAGATCCAGCTGCTTCTGCCTCCTGAGTGCTGGGAGTAAAGGTGTGCGCCACCATCGCCTGGCCTTAAAAATACACTTTTAAGTGTATATGAGTGTTTGCCTGTGTGCCCCATATGTGCCTGGTGCCCTCAGAGGCCAGAAGAGGGCATCAAACCCCTGGAACTGGAGTTACAGACAGCTCTAAGTCATCACGCGGGTGCTGAAAACCAAACCCAGGTCCTCTGCAGAAGCAACAACAAGTGCTCTTACCCACTGAACTCTCTCCCCAGCCCCTTGCCTTGTGTCTGGGGAGAGAACCTCTCACTGGCTGGGCTGGCTGGCCAGTGAGCCCAAGGACTGCCTGTCTCAGCCCTGACACCAAAAGCATGTACCAACTGGGTGGTGACAACACACGCCTTTAAATCAAAACATTCAGGAGGCAGAGGCAGGTGGAGCTCTGAGTTCAAGCCCAGCCTGGTCTACAGAGCAGGTTCCAGGATAGCCAGGGCTACACAGAGAAACCCTGTGTGTGTGTGTGGGGGGGGGTGAAGTATGTAACACAACCGGGCTTTTTTTTTTTCCCCCCCAAGACAGGGTCTCTTTATGTAGCCCTGTCCGGCCTGGAAGTCCCTATGTCGAGCCTTTTTTTAGATTTATTTATTTTTATTTGGTATATTATATGAGTGTTTGCCTGCACGTATGTATTCGCATCACCTGTATGCGAAATTCCCACAGGGGTCAGAAGAGGACATTGGATCCTCTTGAACTTGAGTTACAGAGGGTTTGGGGTCACTATGTGGGTGCTGGGAACCAAACCCAGGTCTTCTGGAAGAGCAACAAGTGCTCTTAACCACAGAATCATCTCTCTAGCCCCTAGAACTCACTCTGTAGACCAGGCTAGCTTTGAACTCACAGAGATCCACCTGACTCTGCCTCTCAAGTGCCAAGATTAAAAGCGTGCGCCACCACAGCTAGCCAAAGGCTAGTTTTTTGTTTTGTTTTGTTTTATTTTATTGAGATAGTTTTTCTTTGTAGCTCTAGCTGTCCTGGAACTCACTCTGTAGAGCAGGCTGGCCTCTAACTCAGAATCTGCCTGCCTCTGACTCTCGAGGGCTGGGATTAAAGGCGTGCGCCACCAGCAGCCTGCATGTTTTTAATTTTTAAAAAAATCTACTTTGTGCCAGACATAGTGGCGCACACCTTTTTTTTTCAGCACTTGGGAGGCAGAGGCAGGCGGATCTCTGTGAGTTCTAGGCCAGCCTGGGCTACAGAGGGAGTTCCAGGACACTCAAGACTGCACAGAGAAGCCCTGTCTTAAAAAACAAAGGAACAAAATACTGGAGAACAAATATCATGGAGTGTGTGTGGAGGTCAGCGGACAGCTCTGTGGAGCTGGCTTTCTCCTTCCTTTTCTACTTAGCATGGGAGATGCCCAGCAAGGCATGAAACTGAGCAGGGTAGGCCAGCATGGGTGTTGCATACCTTTAATCTCAGTACAGGAGGCAGAGGCAGACAGATGTCTGTGTGAGTTCAAGGCTAGCCTCATCTACAGGCCAAACAAGACTACAAAGAGAGACCATTAAAAAACAAAAATCACGCCGGGCGGTGGTG